GATGGGGGGCGGGGAACAGAGATAAAAGTGATAGAGTACATGTTGTCTTAGTCCCTGCTGTGGTGTTCATGGGGATGGGGTAGTGAGGTAGCATCAGTCTGAAATTTCATACATCTACAGGCTTTGGTAATGCAAGCCTCTTTGAAGGGCACAGCAGGGAGCACAAGTTGCTGGGCTTATATGCAAGCGTGAGGGTGGGTGGAACATACTGGTAAGGTTAAGTTATGAAGCACAGTGCTCTACACTGAGTGGAAGTCTCCAGCACTTACCCACTCATGGGATATGTGATGGGAGACACTTGATCAAGCTAATAGTCACACTTCCCACTTGTAGAGGGTTAATAAATTACTATTATATCCCAAGAGGTGAGAGGTAATTAACTATGTTAGTCTTAAGTCAGGCAAAAGCCAGGGGAAAGTGGCACCTCAGAGACTAGCTGGTTCAGAGAGGTCTGAGCTATCATAGGCTATATAATATGCTATAAAGTGTTGTGTTATACATGGTTGTAAGCCACCATTGTGTACAACCCATTAATAAGCAGTTAATCAATTTTTCCAGATAGATTTCAACAAGTTAAACACCTATAGGTGGATGCAAAAAAGGAGTTAGGTGCTTAAGGTGTACTTCAGCTGGAAAATAAGTGCTTACAGCTGAGTTAAGCCACCACTGTCCTGCTGTGAGAGCCTATACTAGGTTGGTGGTGAGGCTGGTGAAGGATAGGACCAGGCACACCCTGCTCTCTGGAGCCTGCTGACCTGCTCCAGAGCTGAACGTTCACCTGAGGCTACTCTGGACTTGTCTCCTGCAGCCACTCTGAGACCTGCTGGAGACCAAAGGTTCAAGAACTGCCACCAGGAATGAATCTTGAGAAGGCTCACTGATCAACATCCAGCTGTGGAGACAGCCATCAGATCTATGTGGTTCAAGCATAGGCTGGGTGTGCTTAGTCCTGCCTTCCCTGAGACCCAGTGCCAAGTAGTATAGGCAAGCTCTTAAGTGTCCTGGTGGGAGTGTAGCTATTCCCCAGTGCCATTTATATGGCTTGTTCAGTGACTCCTTAATGTAAAATGCATAAGCAGTTCCAGGAATCAGGGCAAAAAGTTGAAGTCCCCTCCTCACGGAGCAACAGAATCAGGCTGTCTCTTGGCTGTCTCCTCTCTGGCCCCAAGAATCTTAAATTTCATTTTGTGCAGCAACTGTGGTTCAGTAAGAGGAGTGGAGGCTGCTTTATCTCACCCAGTGCTTTGGACACTCTTGTAGATCAGAGAGCTGGGCTTAGACCCTTTCAGGCTGAGGAGGGCCTAGAATTCAGATCTCCCACTTCCAGGATGAGAGCTCTTGGTCACCAAGATAGTATAGACACCAGGTATCTGCCTGAACCCAAATATTTGACCTTGGCTCCTAGCTCTAGGCTGGTGGCTCTCAATCTTTTTATACTGAAGGCATCCCTTAGATTCAAAGTGTTTCTCAGAAACAGCCAGCTCTTAATTTTCACTCATGTTTTGACTACAGAAAAATAATACAACTCTTCTGCTGCAAAGATCTCAAAAAGACCACAGCAAGGAAAAATATTTTAAACACTATGATTTCCTATCTCATGGTTTATCTTGTGAATCATGTTTGCACACCTAGCAGTGCTAACATCTCATGATATGCTAGAAAGGATCTCAAGGCACCCTAGGATGCTGTGGCACCCTGGTTGAGAATTACTGCCCTAGGCAGAGGTTTCAGTGCTGCAAATCTGTCTCACCTGGGCAACTACCTGCAGCCCTGAGATAGGTGCCTGAGCCTGGGGGAGAAGTGGGATTTCAGACCCACACCTCAGTGTTTCCTACTGTCTGAATCAATTCTCCCCTTGCTTAGCCTGCTGAATACTGTGGCCCCCAAACTGAAGTGCCCTTCACTCCTATTTTAAAGTAGATAGAACAGAGATGCCTAATCCATATGTGTACATTTCATTCCCTTTTGGGCAAGATGCCTAAAAGCTAGGCCAGGGAAAGCATGTACCTATATCCCTTTTTGGATCTGGTTCCTGATAATAATTTATTAACCCTTTACAAACCATGTAAAAATGGAGCATTAACATGATTTGCAACTAATGTATAAGGCTCTTGGCTGCCTTCTCCCAGTTGCCTACTCCCCTACTTGGCCTTCATCTTTCTATTAGCCAGGAACAATGTGGGTTCATTGCCAGATGACCAGGTTTCCCTGTAGTTCTGCCCTGCTCAGTATTTCTGACTTTGTGTTATTAGTCAGATCAGTTCTGGGAAGATTCAGATCCAAGGAACTCAGTCTTGAGCTTGGGTCTTGAGTAGGGCTTGCTTCTCTCTATCTAAGGAATGTTTTTTATGGTCACTACCTTTCCTATAAGTTTTCCAAATGGAAAGAGAAATGAACACACACTCAGCATGTTTACAGAATAGACAGAATGAGTAGAAGAAGTGGATTTAACTCTCAGGGATGGAGAGCTTATGGAGATATTTTGAATATTTTACTAAGTGATCCTTTTTACAAAACAGTGACTGGTTTTTGACCTTGGTGCTTTCTACTTTGTGACTGGGCTGCAGTACACATACACTTAGACAAACAAAGTGAGGAATTCCAAGCTCATGGTACACTGCAGCATCTGCTGACTTCCCACTTTTCATCAAAGTATGCATGACCTGAGCCTCCTCCTCAGCAGGGGGTGGCAAGTGGAGACTCTATTTGAGAACAGATGATACAGATTTATGGATCACTGTCTGTGTATAGTAAAGATAATGCATGATTAGCTCCACTGGGTATGGTTATGGACCTGTCTCCACAACAACAGAGAGGTAAAATTATTATTCCCTGCAAGGCCACAAAAACCCACTACAGGGCACTTTTCATTCTGCTTTATTACATCTGTGCAGGTTCCCTAGTTTCATGTTGCTAGGGGTAACTGCTTTTATTACACATTTATATGAACTGATTAAGTACATTTTTAAACTGCTTGGGTTTGATGCCCTACTTACCCACTTCATCCCTGATGTTTGCAAGCTCAATTGACAGCTCCTTTTCTTTCACAAGGGCACTTTCATTCTGTTAAAACAAAAGAAAAGAAAATATATGTATTGTGCCTAGGTTTATCCCAGATAAGCACTTTCACATGTTCATTTACTAAACCAAATTAGGTAAATTTTTCAGGTCTACTTTTTGTAATTATAATGAACTATTTTTTTTTAAACCTGCAGTGGCAGGCAATATTGACCCATGTTTCAGAGGGAAGCATGGAATAGAGCAGTATAAGTACTTGCTTACAGATAGATATCTGTATTTATACTGTATTTTCTCATATACAGCACACATCTTTTCCCCACAGATCTGGCCCTCAAAATTGGGTTGTGTGTATTAAGTGGGGAAGCTCAGTTTTTGCTCAGGATAGAAGCACCCTGTGTTGATTCCTCCTCCACAGTGCAACAGTTGTGGCACTGCTATTAAGGCAGCTGAGGGAGTCAACTGACTTAATGGCTCAGTCTTTTCACTACAGAGGCACACACTTCATAGCACTTCTCCTTTTTAATGGTCTTGATGTTTCACTAATCAAGCTAACCTTTTCTGGCAATTTTGCTGTCTGCTAGCTGCTTATGATCTGCTCTGGAGATTCTTTACTTCTTTTCAAAATCACAGATCTACCCATGCAGACCAGCTGAATAGTAGGCTCTACCCCTGTTCGAAGCAGCCATAACTCTGGAAAAAAAATCTTCCTTTTCCTCTTTCTGTCTTCTAAAAACAAAGTACTTATTACATTCTGAGGTGTATTGTATGCAAGGAAATACAGTATTTTTTATGTAGGTCTATGTACCTTTTTGCATGGACAGCATATAAAAAACAGTGCCATTAATTATATTAACATACACACAATATCTGTGCATCTTCATATCCAAATAGTTATAATATAATATAATATAATATATACACAGCACACATGTATACAAATATGATTGTGTATATTAATATATTTATACCATTTTGAATATAGTATGCATTAGTACATGCACATACAGTAATTCTCTGGCCTTCATGTCTGTATTTTTAGCTCTGTGTATGATATTTTGGTTTGTCCATGGGATACCAGACCTCTGTTCACAAAAAAAGGAACTCCAGAACTCATTGACATTTAATAATTAAGACAGATATTTTGGACAGAGAACATAAAACATATTTATGTTGGCAGTACCAAGTTGTCACTGCCTAAATGTGAGGATTTTGGTGGCAGATGCGTCATAAATACTGTATGAAAGCTGCAAGCAAACCCCAGGAGTGTGATTTAGTACCATAGAATGAGAAGAAAGCCACTTTCAAATTGGAATGTATCCTGTGCCATGTTAGGGAGGAAACAAAGGAATATATCCTGCTGAGCAGGTTACCAGTGATTAGGAAAATGAGATCAGAGGACTAGAAACATGCCCCAGGTTAGGAAATACCCAGAATCTTTAAAGGACAGTATAGAAAATTAATGTCCAAGACAAAAATCAATGTGGGAGCACACTCAGTGAAAAGAAGTCTCAGAAAGCAAACTGGATAGCAATAAGCAGGGTTAATGGCAATCCAGGGCACTTTAAGGACTGGATTTGTGGTCGCCACAAATGACACATGGCAGAATGCTCAGGGATGTACAGCCTATTCTTTATTTCCCTGCAGCCCATTAACAGCTAATTTATCAAAACTGCTAACAGAACTATATGAAATATTCATAAAAACAATAGAAATCAAGAACAGAGTGAAAAGTGACACGACTCTCCACCCCTTGCTGTTCTTCAGCCTGTAGGGAGTGCCACCCCTCTGCTTGTATATGCTCTGCTTCCAACATTGCCTCTGTTATGGATATGTCTCAGTGCCAACTCTAATACCTGCAGCTTGTCTCTATACCATGACCCCATTCAAATGGCCTTACCTTTATGTTGCATTGTAACAGCCATTTTGAGAAAAAAAAAGTAGGGGATTAATACTGGTTCAAGACCATTTTTAGAGTAGAGAGATACAACAGGTCAGAACATCTCTGACATATGGATTCCTATCTGAAATCTCTGGCCACATTCAGACATGCGTGGACATTTGGTTCCCCAGGGACAACTAGTGCTGGCACACCTTGTGATGTCACTAGTTGTCTCTGGGGAATGCCCATGCCATGTGCACTCTGGCATGTGGCAAGTTGTCCGGGGTGGGGCAGGGGAGGCCAGGGCCAGCATTGGGCTGGCACGGCAGCCTTACCTGGCGTCCTGGGGGACTCGTGGGGCTGCAACAGTGGCGATCCTGCCATGCAGATCCTGGCTGGCAGCAGAGTGTGGCTCTGGCCAGCCAGGCCCTGGTTTTGAGCAGAGTGGGCTGCCCCTGCATTCACTGCACTGCTTTTTTTTTCAGCGGGTTTTTCTGACTCCTGGATATCCATTAATTGCTGCTCCCCTGATGCCAGATTTCTGGACCTGTTGGGAGCCCCATGGGCTGGAGAACATGGCCCTACATGCTAGATCAGGCATGCAGGGCCAAACACAGGTGGCATGGGGCTGATCTAGACAGATGGGTGTGGGCTATGCAGGGCTGATCTGGGCATGCAGAGCCAATGCTGTGCAGATCCAGGCACATGGGGCAGGAGCTGTGCATGTTCGATCTGCGCATGTGGGGCTGGAACTGTGTAGGGATGATTTGGGCAGGGCAAAGGAAGCAAGGAGCCCAATTTGGGCATGAAAGGGCCAGCCAGGGTGGTGCAGAGCCTAATCTGGCCACCAGGTGGAGTGGAGGTATGTAGGGCCCAGTCCAATAGCATGAGTCCAGGGTGTAGCAGGGCCTGATTCTGGCGTGTGGGCCTGATCCCGTGTGGGCGGATCAGCCCCATGCCACTCATTTGGACTGTGGCACCAAAAGGCTGAGCACCACTGACTTTAAACTCTTAGCTGAAATGACAAGGGATATCACAAAATATCCAACACAAATAGCAGCAGGAATTGGAAGGCCTGTTTTATTATTTATAGTATTACAATATTACCAATCCATGGCCCCCTCCACATGTGCACGACAGGAGGTATGACTGTGGGATCATGCATTAGATCTCATCACACCTTATTACAGAGGTTAGCTGCAGGATGATTCTCTCTGCCCTGTGGGTGCGTAAAACCCCTAGGACCAGAGGGTCACTACAGGGTGATCTACCTCAATCTCCAGGGCCTGGGGGTTTTAAGCTCGGCATGGTGAACTTCTGTGGCTGGGATCCCAATCAACTAAAGGGGCTCCCAGCCACAGGGGAGACCCTGCTACACATGCAAATTATAGCTTGATAGCAACCAGCTATAAAGTTATTATACATGTTTGAAGTCTAACTTTATAGGTGGTTGGAGCTTCTTATTAGGGCTGTGTGAAATTTTGCTGGCTGTTTCGTTTTGACGCTGTTTCGATTTATTTTGAGCTCAAAACAGAGAAATCAAAATGAAACAAAGGGCTTTGAAACGGCCTTGAAACAAAACGAGGGTAGTCGATACATTTAGAAAGTTTCAAAACATTTTGAGTTTTGAAGCTGAAGCTGGGCTTGGCTGCAGGGAAACAGAAAGTAAGGCGAGGGAGGGGGAAGAGTGGGGAAGGACACAGGGAGGGCGCGCCTTAACACACATGCTGGAGAAGAAGCTCCTGCAGGAGAGGAAAGAAAGGCTCTCTCACAGTTTGGTTGCCTGAGATGCTGCTGGTGCTATTGTGCTGCTCCTCACTAAGTTGTTATTTTGCCTGTTGTACCACATCCATCCAGGATTATCTTAGAGAGGGATCCACCATTTTTACAATGCTCTATGTGCCTTGACCATCTGCTCAGTTATGACTGTGGTGAGCTTTGTATGTGCTTACCATGCAATAAGTACAACTTTTGTACTTGGCCCTAATGATTACAGGTGTAAAGAAACAATATTTTATAATTATGTTTACCTTGTTTGTTCTGTTTTTTAATATAAAGTGTATGATATAGCAAATTCATGCACATGTCAATAAAGTTATATTTGTTTTTGTTTTGATCTTAAATGGAACAGTACAGCTTTAGGCCCTTAGCATATTAGTAAGGCTTCTAGTTTCTTTTTATCTGGAGAAAAATATATGTTGTGTTATATGTGATGATGCACCACAGCATCTACATCCCCCTTCTCAAAATCCTACATCTGTCCCTGGAAGTCAGACTGTTGTCATTGTACTTCTATGAAAAAATGGAAAAGCATATAAAAAATTAGCACATCCTTACAAAAACACTTTGCTAAAATGTTGAGCCTCAGCTAGCTCATCCCATAACAAACCTGATATGAATAATTTATAAGCTGCTTTTACATGGTAAGTTTTAGGTTATTGTGGAGAATGCTTACCTGAATTTTGTAGATACTGGATACACCGATTACTCTCTGGAAAGTATGCAGCATTCTGACTTTGTTATGTTTTCAGTGTACAGAGGACGCACAATCAGAAATTGGGTCCAGCCAGATAAGAACCACAATGCCATATTTAGGTATTTCTCCACCTGGCTGAGGGCTGGATAAGAGCTGCCTAGGACAGCTCTTGGCCAGCCCCTGGCTGCTGGGGGATTTCTCTGCCCAGGCAGGGGCTAGCTGGGAGCTGCCCCAGAAGCAGGATAGCTCCTCATCAGCCTCCAGCTGGGCAGGAAAGCAGAAAGCTTCCCAGTCCCAGCACTGCTCAGCTCCCTGCTTCTGGGAGCAGCGGAGAGCTGAGCAATGCCAGGACTGGGGCAGTTCCCCATCCCCTGTGGCCCACTGGTATTAGGGCTGACTGGGAACAAATTTGTTCCCGGTCAACATCTACAGATGTGCTTCTGCGCAGTACCTACTATGCAGTTAGTTTACTATGAATGTGTAGACAGTGATGTTTTACTGTGCAGTAAATTAGTCTACTGAGCAGTAGAGTGCCCCATGTAGACACACCCGCTGTGACCGCTGTCAGGGATGGCCTTACCCTTTTTTTTGTTTTGGTCAAAGATTTCTAACTGTCCCTCCTAGCCCTTATGTTGACATTTGCTGGGATATGCAGATTTAATTCAATGTCAACTTTTAAATTAACCC